TTGCTTGTGGTCCACAGCTCAAATGGTTATGGTACAAAGCCTGAGATGGGACCCAGTCACATCTCACTTTTATTTAAGAGCGGTTTATTTTCTCTTCCTCAGAGTTACCCTTTACATTCTGCGGGCAAGTATATAGATACTTTAGTAAGTGTTTATGGGAAGACCTGCTGGCGTAACTGGTCTCATGGCTATAGACCATGCAACAGAAGTTGTTTCTACATTTTGGGAAATTACATACAGCTAAGAATAAACTTGTTTGCTCGGAATAGATTCTCAGATCCCACACATCCTGGAAAAAACTATTCCTTACTGCGTGTCTGTCGTTGAAAATAGGACATCTAAGGTAGAGACTCAATTTCATTTCAAATTTTAGCTTAATAATGTAAGAAAACAGTGCTGGTCTTTACAAGTAAGGCTTTTGTATATTTTGAACACTGGCCAGATAGCTCAAAAAGAGTTTCACAGAAAGCCAGGGGAAGGGGAAGGCTGCACAGAGCCAGCCCAACCATTTACTGTGTGGTGAAGAATTTCGGTGTAATTACCTAGATATTTTGCGCAAATTGGAAGGAGGGAATGAAAGGCATTTTGTGATGTTCTATCTGAGGAATGGAGGCCTGACATCAATACAGATTTTTCTTCTGAGTTCACTATGTCTAAAGGCTAGTTAAGTTAGCTTCACTGCCTGTTGCCAGCTGCTGCCTCCCCCCTCTACACACATATATACCCCAACCAGAGCCTTCATTAGACTGAAAAATATACATAAGACAAGAGGGTGAAAGAATGCAGATGAAGTCATGCAAATTTATTGTAAAAATAACTTGAAGTAGATGCTGATCAACACAGGACCTGTAAGATCCCTCGTATGGGAAAGACATGACAGTGTTTATGGACATCAATTATTTATATATTACTTCAGTCATTCCTGAGTATCCCAAAGATGATATCTACATATTTTAATTTGAAACCAAGTGAAGACTATAGTTTGTTCAAAGTGCTATAGTGAGATAATTCTCATTGGGTTAGCATCTGCTCTCTTCCCCAAAGAGTTTCCTTTAGTTATGGAAATTTAACATTCCAGGACAATTTAGAAAATGCTCTGTTGATTTGTGAGTTGGGAGTTCCAAGTTTTAATTTTAATTCTGTTACGGATTGTGTGAGCTTTGATAAGGCACGTGACATCCTGGTACTTTAGTTTCTACATGTGAAAAATGGTGAAGGAGGGGAGATGAAAAAACGTCTTACTAACTGAAAAAATATATTGTAAAGATAAAAAGTGTTAACATTCTAACATTGGCAGTGTTTTAAACATGGCTGTGCCAAGTCCGAGCATACCATGAAGGCATGGGCAGGATGTACTCCAGGCCTACCATAATGGTAGAGATTTCTGGGCACTGACTATGCTTCCTGTTGTCTGAATAGACATGGGGACAATTACAGAAAAGTGGCTAAGAGCCCAGGACAAAGGAAATAAAGGGAAGGCGCAGCACAGCCACTTTGACTTGGCATTATACCATGTTGGGATCCTCTTGTCTTTATGAAACTACAAGGGCCCTTGGGCAGCTGCCGCATAAACCTTAAATAATATTGAAGAGGGTTGTAAAAAATGAATAGGGATAATGGGAATCTGGTAGGTCTGGCTAGTTAGAAGCTTATGGTTAGTCAGATGTGTGAGTTAGCAGTCTATTAATTTGATGTCGGGGAGGAGGGATGACTTTTCACTTGTGTGGGTGAAGGCTCTATTCAAGAGAGGGCCATTGTGGCTCAGATGTGGGAGGTAGGAAGACGCTAAAGAATTGTTAATGAGACACTCCTTGTGTGGGTGAAGGCTCAGAACAGCACTCTCTCCTGAGCTGGGATATATTCCAGCCTCAGGTGGATACGAGTGAGGCTGATTTTGCCACGATTAGCAGAATTACTTGGAAAAGCAAGAAAACGTGGTCGTATTCTCGGATCTGAGTCTAACTGAGTTTCAGCTCAGCTTTGGTCAAGCGCTCCAGGGCACACTAAATGCTGTGTATTCACTGAAGGTTCCTGTTTGTCTCTTCCAGCTTCTGCCTCCTGCTCCTGGTACCTAATTTCTGCTCCTGCCTTCCACTTTCCTCCTAATGTGAGCTCAACTTGCAGCTTTCTCTCAGGTTCTCCTTTCTATTCACTGGGCTGCACCCTTCTACAGTGTGTTCTCTGTGTGTGTGTGTAATGGAGGAGTGCTCTCGAGGGCTTCCACTCCCCTTTAGCAGAATGATATCCATTTCCTCTTATGCCATGTGAAATTTCTTGTCTTCTGCTGTCTTTACTGATCAGAATGAATACTTATTCTCTGAAGTCAAGTATTAAAAATACAGAATCCACCCCGCAGCTGAAAAAAGATTTTCAATCTGATAAATACGTTTGTCCTGTTACTTTTACATGATGTGAATTGTGATTTGTACAGGTTCTCTTCAATGGCTTCAACTATACTATTATACCCAAATTGTGTTCTGCATTTTAATGTGTGTCCTGCTTGCTAGACGCCGACGACCTCATCCTTTTAGAGAAAACCTAATTAAAACTACACAAGGACATCTCCACTTCAGTCCTATCTTGTTGGAAGTATCCATATCAGAAAAAAAGAGTTCTGGGGCCGGCCCCGTGGCTTAGCCGTTAAGTGCGCGCGCTCCGCTGCTGGCGGCCCGGGTTCGG